AGCAGAGCTGCTCTCCATCCCTTCATCCCCCAGCCTGTATTGATACCACGGGTTGCCCCAACTCAGGGGCACGACCCTGAACTTGGCCTTGTTGGACATCATGAGGTTCAAATAAACCCATTCCTGGAGCTTGTCTTCCTGGAGCTATCCTCTGGATAGCATCCCCTCCCTCAGGTGTGTCAACTGCACCACTCATCTCAGTGTCATCTGCAAACTTGCTGAGGGTGCACTTGATCCCACTCTCTATGTCATTGATGAAAATATTCTTGCTTGGCTTAAGATGCCATCTTCCTCATGATTCTTCCCTCCTCTTTGGCTCACCCAGGTCTGGGATGGGGTCTTCGTGGTTGACCTGAGGACTTCAGCTGAGACTCACTGGTCAAAAACAGCTGGGGCAGGCATTGCTTTGGCATTGCTTTTAGGATTCAACCTCAGGAACAAACCTTGGGTTCATTACAATGAAGCTTTGACTAAGCTACAAATTCTGTTTTGGATGTTGTTAAAGGTGAGCTGGAGCCCACAGCCAGCTGATGGAGATTGGTGATGGCCACGGTATCAGCCACCCCCACAGCAATGCTTGCCTTATGGCAAATGTCTGGGGACACCTTTGTATGGAGGATGAAGGCAAAGCAAGCTCCTTTTGCAAGTTTGTTTTTTTTTTTTCCCAGTTGTTTAAATAAATATGGCTTAAATAAAAGAAGGTTGAATAAGGTAGAAGTGGCCACCAAGGTATGAGGAAATTAAGCTGTAACTTGCTGTACCCACTTTGCCTGGGTTTCAAACCACTTCCCACACTGCCCCTCCACACAGGGTGCTGATTTTGGGTGAGCATCCTCTTGCAAACATTGCACCAAGAGCAGTAGCCACTGTTGGAGGCAGGGTATGCCTTGGGAAGGGAAGGGGCTTGTCTGATGACTCTGTTTCTCGGAGAAGCCTCCTGCTCCAGGAGAGTTGGCACCAGGAGTCATGGAGGAGCAGGGGTAAGAGCAAGTGTTTCAGATGGCCCACTGAATCAGCTGGTGCAGCCAATGCCACGTGTACATGGGCAGGGAACTTGTGTTGAAGCATCTCCAGCATCATGTCCAGCATCGCAGGTGGGGCAGGTGTTTTGCATCCTACACAAGGTTCCCAAGGGTGCAGATGGAGATAGTTGGAGGACAGGGACACCTGGCATGCTCCGCACGTGTACGGAAAGTGGGCAGATCCTGAGGTCTGGCCAGGTGAAGGACCTTGCTGTCTACCTGGGTTCCTCCTCTGCTGGATTGAGATCCTGTCTGCTGGGAAGGAGCAGTAGAAGATCCAGGCCGCTGGGAAGAGCAGGAGGAGACTGACGCTGCTGCGGGGGCTTTTCAGGGATCTGTAGGGCACAGCTGGTGATACTTGCTGCTACCAAAGCCAGGGAGTGCTGCATAAGAATGGACAATGTAAGGATGGGCAATATAGAGATGGACGATATAAAGATGCATGACAGAAGGACTATATAAGGATGGTCAATATAAGGACACAGAAGCTGCATGCAGCAGCGACAGAAGATGTGGGGCAGGGAGGGGGAGCCAAGGGAGAGATGTGCAGCAGGGAGAGGTACGGGAGCAAAGGGCGAGATGTGGGACAAGCAGGCGTGGGGCAGCTCACCTGTCCTGCTGGCCCAGACCAGCACCCATAGAAGGGTCCCCTGCCCTACGCCCAGCTTCAGCCACCCAGGCACAAGGACATGTGGGCCACCAGGTCCCCAGAGACACACCATCCCCCTCAACAGCCCCCCCCATCACCCACCTGCCCCTGGGGGGGACACGACATGTCGGTGGCTTCAGGGTGGTGATGTCCTCACTCCCAGTCGTGGGG